GACAGGAGGATTTTCTGTTAGGATTCCCGTGTTAGGGGTAAGAGCGCAGAGACATTACCAAATACAACTGCTAACTGAAGCTGTCAAGTGCGATCATATTAGAAATCAAAACACATGCACAGGCTTTTTCCTGCTGTCCTTTACAAAATTAATAAATACATCCAAACTTCTGGCACTGCTACTAGCCTTTTTACATATGAAACTTTTCACTTACATTCTGTTCTGGTGCTATGGTGCTGTGATGCTATGCAAAACAAAGCACAGTCGGAAAGGTCAGAAACAAGTCTTTGTGTCTGTCACCTCAGCACATTCTAGTTGTCCACAGACAGCAGCAACTGGTAAATAACATTGACATTTCTTTGGAAAGTCATAGTTTTAAATGATCTCTATGGTCCTTCTCAGACTGCTGTAGTGTTTAAGACACTGATCAAAAAATGTAAAATTCAAAAAGAAGAAACTTTAAAAAGGAAAGTGAGACTCAGCTCACACAGCATTGCATCTGATCTCCTCACCCAGGCTTTCCTGCAATTTGGGCTGGCTCTCTGTGAGGAAGGTAGTGCTGAGTTCTGTGCTCCCATTCTGCACTGAGACATGGCACCCAGCCAGTGCAAGCCCCCAGCTTCCAGTTCAGGCTGGTGTCTGCCAGCCAGTCCCACAGTGTGTCTTTAGCTATCTGCAGAAGGACACATTGGTGTAGAAGTTTTCTCTCTGAAGCAGTAGATCTCCAGTCTTCTAGATATCACCCATTAGTTAGATATATTATGAGATGCTTGCTTACTTTTGTGTCTTTCAATCGCCAGTGACTTTTCCTAAGCATCCCTTTGGCCTTTAACTATACTTCAGAGGAAGTTAGAAACAGCCTTGAAAGATAGCCCTTTATCACTAACTGGCCAAAGTGTGCAAACATTAGACCAAGATTACTATTAAAGGTCCTGTTCTGTTCCTGTGGAGTTGGTCATGTGGGCAGCTGCTGGGAAAAAGCAGTAAGAGTCAGGAATTGTTAAAATGCCTCACTATAGGAAATCCCTTGTGTAAGTATCTGCCTATTATGTCTATTCCAACCACACCACCCAAGTCTTGCAAGGCAGACACAGGGACTGTGAGAATGAAGACCTTAGGCCCACTGAACCCATCTGGTTCAAGACCATCTTAAGAACCTGAATGTGCACAAGTCCATGGGATCTGATGAAATCCATCCGCAGGTCCTAAAGGAGCTGGCAAATGAAGTTGCTAAGCCACTGACCATCATATTTGAAAAATCATGGCAGTCAGGTGAAGTTCCCAATGACTGGAAAAAGGGAAATATAACCCCCATTTTCAAGAAGGGGAAAATGGATGACCCGGGGTATTACAGACCAGTCAGTCTCACCTCTGTGCCTGGCAAAATCTTGGAGCACATTCTCCTGGAAGGCATGCTAAGGCACATGAAAAACAACAAGGTGCTTGGTGACAGCCAGTATGGCTTCACTAAGGGGAAATCCTGCCTGACCAATTTGGTGGCCTTCTATGATGGGGCTACAGAACTGATGGACAGGGGTAGAGCAGTTGATGTCATCTACCTGGACTTGTGCAAAGTGTTCGACACTGTCCCACATGACATCCTTGTCTCTAAATTGGAGAGACATCAATTTGATGGATGGACCACTCGGTGGATAAAGAGCTGGCTGGATGGCCGCACACAAAGAGTTGTGGTCAATGGCTCAATGTCCGGCTGGAGACCAGTAACGAGTGGTGTCCCTCAGGGATCGGTGTTGGGACCGATCTTGTTCAACATCTCTGTCGGTGACATGGACAGTGGGATTGAGTGTACCTTCAGCAAGTTTGCCACTGACACCAAGCTGTGTGGTTCGGTTGATACGCTGGAGGGAAGGAATGCCATCCAGAGGGACCTTGACATGCTTGTGAGGTGGGGTGATGCCAACCTCATGAAGTTTAACCATGCCAAGTGCAAGGTCCTACACCTGGGTTGGAGCAACCCCAGGCACAGCTACAGGTTGGGCAGAGAAGAGATTGAGAGCAGCCCTGAGGAGAAGGACTTGGAGTTGTTGGTTGATGAGAAAACGAACACAAGCCGGCTTCAGTGTGCGCTTGCAGCCCAGAAAGCCAACCGTATCCTGGGCTGCATCAAAAGGAGCGCGACCAGCAGGTCGAAGGAGGTGATCCTGCCCCTCTACTCTGCTCTTGTGCGACCTCACCTGGAGTATTGTGTGCAGTTTTGGTGTCCTCAACATAAAAAGGACATGGAACTGTTGGAACAAGTCCAAAGGAGGGCCTCGAGGATGATCAGGGGACTGGAGCACCTCCTGTATGAAGACAGGCTGAGGAAGTTGGGGCTGTTGAGCCTGGAGAAGAGAAGGCTGCGTGGAGACCTCATAGCAGCCTTCCAGTATCTGAAGGGGGCCTATAGGGATGCTGGGGAGGGACTCTTCATTAGGGACTGTAGTGATAGGACAAGGGGTAATGGGTTAAAACTTAAACAGGGGAAGTTTAGATTGGATATAAGGAAGAAGTTCTTTACTGTAAGGGTGGTGAGGTGGTGAGGCACTGGAATGGGTTGCCCAGGGAAGTTGTGAATGCTCCATCCCTGGCAGTGTTCAACGCCAGGTTGGACAGAGCCTTGGATGAGATGGTTTAGTGTGAGGTGTCCCTGCCCATGTCAGGGGTTTGGAACTTGATGATCATAAGGTCCTTTCCAACCCTAACTATTCTATGATTCTATGTGCTCTTAAGATGGTGAGGCTGGAACAAGTCATTCAGCTGCATTGACTGTAATGTTAGCACTATTCATGTGGGGTATGAACCTTCAAAACTCAGTCCTATATTTGCTTATGCCAAATATGCTCTTTTCTGAGCTTGTAAGGCCCTTTATGAGAGCTCATTGGCTTTCTTCTATTTATTTAATTCTCTTTTGGTAACAGATGCCTTTTAAACACCACATCTTTTCGAGTCCTTCACTGTAAGGAGTGTATTATTTACCTGTCAGTGACAAGGACCCAGCACTTAATGAAGAAGGTCATACAGCTGAAATGGAAGGCAGGTTTTCCCTGCTATCTGCTTGCAAAGGCACAGACTCAAGCTCTTCTGTTACACATCAGCTTCAAGCAATCAGGACCAGTTAACCTTTAACTCCATAAACAAAGATCTTCTCTCATTCCTGCCCATCTTTCCAAGACAGCTTAACATCCCTGTCAACAACCCAAATCGTTTATCCCCAAGACAGAAAGATGACAAATAATGATGGACAAAAGACAGAAATTGCAAATCATCCTGGCAGTGGACAGGGAGAGAGAATTTGGTTTGTATACATGGGCAGAGAGCATATTTTATAATTAAAAAAATCAGCATGTTCTTGAAAGGGAGGGTTGGAAAAACACCTAACAAGGGAGAGCAGGCAGAAGCCCTTCCCTTGGAGATATTGAGTCCCTGGCCATGGGACAGGATGATGGGGTGTCACATGAACCACAGTTGGGTCTGGAGGGAGGCAAGGACAATCTGATCTGCAGACCTAATGCTCTGTGTAGGATGTGACACCTACATAAAGCCTTGCAAAGGAGAAGAGGACTGCTCCCCCATTTCAGACGGCCCTTGAAGGAGGGAAGCAGGGTTTTTTTGGCAAAAGCTCACGGAGGAGAAAATCAGATCAGGGCAAGGGTGTCCTGATGCACACCACTGATTCCCATCCCTCCTAACCAAAGGAAGAGCTTCCCTGTTTAGCAACCTCCATCCTAAGCCACCAGATCTTCTGTTTTTCTGGATTGCCCAGAGCCAAAGGAGAACAGGTTGAAATACTCATCCTCTCCTCCTCAAAGCCATCAGATCTTGAAAGAGCAGTACTGTATTAAACCCTCCCCACCCAAAGGTATATGTTAACAACAGAAATAAACAAATGACTCAAATAGGTGAAGAAATAAATAAGAGCTCACTGAGCTGGATAGCGCTTCTTTTTAAAGCTGTTCTGTTCTCTACCAAGAATCAGAGAGCGCTCCCTTCCTGCAAACTGCGCACTCAGAAAAAAAAAAAGTTTATTAATATTTATAGAAAAATACACTACTTGTTTTAAATGTCCTTATGTTTAGAAGAAGAACATGGAATTTAAACCATACTCTGCAAATTTTGAAGTGATGGCAGGCGGAGAACAAATTCCCATCATAGGAACATGGTTCTTAGCTTAGTGCTGTCCTTCAAAGTTCAAATATATGAGTTGGCATCCCGGTGTTTCCGTTTCTTGCCACATTTACCAAAATGACTGAAGAAACAGAAGGGGAGAGGTGTATAAGTGTGAAAGAAGAAGGAAAAGATGTAACCCAAGTTGCAGTCCAATCCACAGTACTGAAACATTTATTTTCTGTGTGAAAATTTCCTCATTCTTTAGTTTGTGTATTGAAGCAGGCAAAAGTTACTGATGCAATATACAAAGCCACTGCTTGAAACATTAATGTATAATGCTATCTCCTCAAGAAATTAAGCCAAGCTGTAAATGTTCCCTGCATGCCTGCAATGCAATGAAGAGCCTGGCTTGCTGTGTGTCGGGAGTGGGAAAGATATGCCTGCAACTTTTCAGATGTAAATTCATCCTGTACATGACTTCTTAATGACTTCACAAACTGTGGAGGTGTTCCCATGATCAAGGGCCCTTCACAGGATTGAGGTTATGGCTGGTTTTCTTGAGCAGAGAGTTGCAGGCTGTACTTTGAAGTATCTCTCTTGCACACGATTTATTTCTGCTTCTAGAGGTTCATAGGACAGATTTCTCATGTCTCCATGAGAAAAATACACGTTCTATCCCCATACTTTTTTTTAACAACCTGCCTTAATGAATGGTACTGAAAATTTCAAATGTATGTTGAGGGAAATATCACATCGACCTGACTAGGGAATTTACTTTGACATTTGGAAAACATTAATAATTTATGACAGCTGATAAAGTTGGAGAAGAACACCATCAGGAAACAGCACCTAAATAAAAAGGAATAAAATACATATCACACCTTGAAAGCTGCTCCACATCCTCCACTGTCTCTGGTAAGGAGATTCCCTTTGTCTCTGGTAAAAGGAGTACCAGGAGCCCACAGACAACTGCGAGAATACCTACAGTGAACATTGAAGATATACAAAAACAATAAGAAAATTACTTTTCTTATTTTCAGAGTTTATCCACTGAGGAAAGTTTATTCAGATTAAGGTTGGTTTAGTATTTTTGAAGCACAACAGTTATTTCTGATTACATCTGCAATGTTACATTAATCTTATCAGACACCTGTATGCTGCATAAATTTAACCTATTCTAAAAAACCCCTTAAAGCTAGAGCTTCATTTGCAGCCTGTATTGGTCCCAGAGGGAGATCTTACAAGTCAAAAGCCTCAGATAAGTGCACATGGACAAGTGCATACAAACTGCAATGTAATCAAAATGTTATTTCTCATATTAGATATATCTCCTTTTCTTCAAGAGGCTCTATCTATCTTGTAGATGCATCAATGTTTCTTGAGACCACTGAGATTTTCCTGAGCTACCCTCTTCATGTATCCATGACCAAAGTAGATTATGTGATTCAGACTAAGAATTCATTCTTGGGAAAGAGCATTCAGATACAGAGCCAGTTCGAAATGGTTAATTAGGAATGGTTATTTTGGAATAATTTCCTGTGTAAATATAATTTGAATAAAGTAATAAATAAAAAATAGAAGGGCTGGAGCAAAAAGTAAAATGCTCCCTGACTGCTGCACAGCCTCCCTTGGTTCTCTCTGATTTTGCAGCTCTTTATTCCAGACAAAGGGAATTCAGCAGCGGAATTTCAGAATTAGGTAATGTGAACACTGCACTGCTGTATGTGTCTATTCTTGGGTTAATCTTTTAAAATGTCTTGTGTTCTTTCCATTTTTGTTTTCAGCTAAAGTTGTCATTAGCACCAATTTCCCTACTTATTCTATCCCTTTTGCATTCAATGCAGTCAAGTGTATCTCCTGGAAGTCTGGTTTAGCCACAGATTCATGTTTCCATGTGGGAAATAAGTATTTTAATTAATTTTTTTTGCCCACAGAATTACTCCACATGGATATTTTTTTCTAAAATGCAACTGAGAAAAAGAATTTGTCAGTAATATGAAGTTATGGTTAATACAACATCCATGGTCATAGCTGTACCTGCCGAAAAACCCAAACCAACTATTTCTTAAAAGACATTAACCTCTACTCCGGGGAGACTAAGCTTGCTTCTCTGTAATTACAGAACTTAGCTGTAAGTTTTCTCAGTCTTAAAGCACCTCACACAGTTTCTTTTATGCTCCTTCAGCCAAGTTATACAAGCAGACCTGAGCAAATCCATGGCCTGCCGTGAAATCACCCACACTTCACCCATTTGCCATTCAGCCTCTTGCTCTAGGTGTGAGGCTTGAGAGGAGCTGGTCTGAATGGGAGATGAAGCCACACACTACAGTTTTGCCCTGAAAGAAAAGCTCTGTTAGGAGGAGGATGTTTAAACCAAAAGTTGATTTTAAATCAAATCTTACAGAAAATTATTAGAGGTAGCTCCAACCAAATGGCTGCTAATCGGAAAAGCAGGAATGGGGCTATGATCCCTCCTAGGTCACACAAACTCGAGCACAGGGAAACACCAAAGTTTCTGCAAAAAAAAAAACAGTGCCAGGTATTTGTGAGGTGCTACCAAACAGATGAACCAGCAGTTTAAGGAGCAGAACATAGGTTTAGCTCCAAAATGATCCTGACAGTTTATGCAATCCACATTGAGCAGTGGCTACTCAAGTTAGGAAACTCTGAACAAAATGAAGTTTTACCAAACAATGATGAAATAGGGAATGGGGAAAAGCAGAAGGAGACATTGAAAGATTCCAGGGAGCTTTCAACATACCTCAGTGTCGTAGGGTACAATTCAGTGTTCACAAGATAGACAATTTCAAAAGCCATCGTGATGCCCAGTCTTCCCAGTGTGGCAATTGTCATTTTAAGCCATAGGATATCTATTTATTCAAAGAGAAACCCTGGTGAAGTGCACTTTGCTGCACCAGCAGAGCATTTCTGAGAGCCCCAGGCCCTGTCAGCAGAAGCTATATCACAGAAACACTGGATCAGTGCAAATCAGAGTGAAAAGCCACAGCTGTAGATATCAATTTCTACTGGCATTTATTGTTTTCCAGCACCACGCCAGGCTGTTTTGGAGAATCAGAAATCACTTCTTGTTGATTGATTCAAGATGCTGGTGGGGCATAACATCCTGGGTGGGAATAAGTTTCCATGACCACGTCCAAATTGTGCTCTGGAAAGGAGCATTTATTTATATAGGGATGTCATGCTGTGAGAAACACATGTGAGTAACTCAACACATGTTAAGTGACCACATGTTAATTCACCTCCCAAAGCCTTCTGACCACAAAAAATCTACCTCTAAAAGTGCATAGAATCATAGAATCATCTAGGTTCTAAAAGACTTCTAAGATCAAGTCCAACCACAAACCTAACTCTGCCAAGTCCACCAGTAAACCATGTCCCTAAGTGCCACATCTACATGTCTTTTAAATACTTCCAGGATGCTACAGTAAAATAATTCTCCCTAGGGTAGGCCAACTACACTTTCTAATTTGTCTAGCTACTGCTCATTAGACACACTCCTAATAATGGTACTCCTGGCCATTCTCCCCCTTCCTTCCCCTGATGCTTGGCTTTGTACCTAGCATGAGCAGGCCAGGAGCCTTATCCTGCCCTGGTGGCTCTTCTCAGCTCTCTCAGGTCTGCTTGAGCTTTGTGGTGTGGCCACTACTCTGTATACATCAGCAGGAACCCCTTATTCATCAGTAGGGAGTACAAAGGTCACATCCACACCACCATTCCATCTGGCTTTGTGTCAGAGTTCCCTCTCTGGAAAGACAGTGTCCTCTGGAGGAGCATCACAAGGAATGCAATAAGCACTTCTGCAATGCCCTTGGGAGAGGCCAGTTTCCTGTATGGTCTGACTACGAAGAGGCAGATGGGGAGGCAAATGAAAGAACAAGTGTGAAATCAGCACAAAGGGGAGCTCTGCCACAGGAGAGGGCTCTGGCAGTGATTGTGTTTTCTCAGAACTTCAAGAGAAAGAACAAGAAAACATTTCAGTTTGCTCTGAAGCAAAACTGAGATGCTCAGGGTTATTTCCCTTCCAAAATAACCAAACAAACCCTCATTAAATTTCACCCCATGCTGCGAGACACTGAAAACTTCTGGTTTATGTTTGTATACTCTTCTCTTGCATTTGCCTTCAAAACAGTACAAAGACTTTATACACATTCTCTCTAACACTACACTCAGCTGTTGCTCACCACCCATCAAAGATACAGCCATTACATGTCCCAGGGCACTCTATAAGCAAATGAGGTATGTTGTTCCATGACGGCAATGTTGCTGTATCACCAAACACTTTTCACTTTTATTTACAGTTCTGTGTGGCCTGCTGTCCTTGCTTAAGGGGTGTCAGAGAGAAGTCATTGACCTAAAGACCCTGACATTGGGAAGGGAATTACCTTCTGGCAAAAAGGCAGTAATGAGGCATGCAATCCCCGCCACAATGTTGCTTATTGCAAAAGGAAGGCGACGGCCGATGCGATCAATTGTCACTAAAATTAGGAGAGCAGCAGGCAGCTCTACAGCTGCTGAGATGAAGAAGTCTAGGTAGAGGTTTCCTCCAACAATTCCTAGGCGCATGACGAGCCCTTGGTAGATCAGGGCACTTGTGAACCTAAACAGCAAAGGGAAAAGAGTGTTGAGAGGCAAACAAATGGCTGCAAGCAACTGCAATGACCTTAAACATCACAACAGAATTTTTCTTGAAAACCCACTGCCATGGTAACAAACTGGGCTGAAGTGGGCACTCACCAGGCATACATGAGGATGAGGGTGTTCCTTCTCATCCGGGGAGTCCTCACCAGGCTGAGAAAGGAGGGGTTGCTGACCTCCTCATTGTTAATAGTGATCTGAGGAGAAAAGCGAGCAGTCAGCTGTCAGGGGTCAGGCAGGCAGTGCAGCAGAGTTTCTATGTAAGCATGGTGCTCAGCAATATTCCAGTCCAGTGAGCTAAGGTGCCGACGAGCCAGCTCTGCTGCTATTAACACTCCAGAGCCGTGTGCAGATATGGAGAAATAACATATAACTGGGCTGTGGGCTTTCATTAAGGATGGTCATGTAAAAGTCAGGAAAAAAGTCCCCAGTCCTGACTTCAGAGCGGAACAACGATTCCCTTGATGTAAACTGAGAGAAGCTGACCTTGAATTTCTTGGAAGGCAATAGGCAGTTGTTCTCACTTCAGGGTCGGGAGCAGAGTTACATTCTGCCAGAGGTGAGGGAGAGGAGCAGACCATGGCAGATAGGGCAAAGCAATAGGCTGGGGGGAAGGAGGGAGACAGAAGGTGAGCAGCAAGCAATAGACTTGGGAACATGGCACAGCTGGGCAGCAGGAAGAAAAGAACAGTGAGAGAAAAAGCAGATCTGTAATGGCACTTTGGTGCTACAAAACATTCAAATGGTGAAATGAAGAGGGTCTTAAAATACATGAGCACTGTGCTGAACTGTACTTTTAAAAGTACAAACTGCACTTTAAAACTGGCTTTTACTCTGCAAGAAAAAATCCTGCAAAATATGAATTAATGGTCCTCATACTGTCTACAAATTATAGTAAAATTGTTTACAGCTTCCACCACTACAGACACAATGAGGGACTTAATGAAATGATTAGTTAGAAGGTTTAGCAATAACAAAAAAGGACAGGGTTTCACAGAGCCTGTGTTTACAAGTTGGAGTTCATATTGCCACCGGATATAGTGGAGCAGAGATATATTAGCAGGGCCAGAAAGAGTTTAGGCACATTGATGGAAGCTGTTTTTAACGTTGATGACCAGCAGATATTAATAGTGATGCCTAAGCCAGATGGCAGTCCTTTTGTTCATATGTTCATTTGATGGGTGAGGAACATGAGAAAGAGTAGGTGGAAGTGACTTTAGGCAGGGACAAACTATGACACTACCAAGAACTAACAGCCACATCCAGGATTGCCATCAGCTCTCCAATCAACTGTGGGAAACATGGGGTTAAGTCTGCTGAGTCTTTTCTAGAAGGATTTCAGGCAGCCTGGCTGCTTTGACTCTCAGTTACTGTTCCCCTCTTGAGAAGAGGCCTGAGAGAGAAGCAGAAACCCAAGGAAGCAACCTAGATAGTGGGGAAACATGGGTAAAAGAATGGAGAACATGTAGATCCATGAGAACACAGGTAAAGCCAAAGGCATTGCCCAAGGTTCTTGTCAGCTCAGCCAGGGCTATGCCCAAAGCTTTTCCTCTGTATTTGGTTTTCATATCATAAGGTAGCATAGACGTTTTCAGTGAGATTTGGCTGGATGTACTTACACATGACATTTTCATAACTGAGTGACACAGAACTCTGTAAGTGGACAGAGAAATCCCACATTTGTTTGAACTTCCTTTCTACTGCCCCTTGCTTTTCTTCTGTAACCAAAGCCTTTTCTTCTGTAACTTCTGCTGCATGCCAGAGACCTTTGTGAGGCAGGCAGACATTGCTGGGTTTCTGTGCTGCTCTTGGACTGTCTCATATCATTGTCATAAAGCTGCCATGACTGTGTTTATAAGAGCAGGCTGCCAGGCATCAGTTTTGACTTTGTGCAAATATGGGGTTAGTTTTCCAAAGGACTAAAGATGAATTCAGCATAGCTGCTACCATGTATTTTTAGGACTTAATAAAGTCATAATGACCCCAAACATGACTGAGCGTTTTTTTATGGATGAAGAAAAAAGCCACTGTGGAAAGTCAACTCTTTGTAGGGAAAAAAAATCCTCTTTTTGTTTTTTGAAGTCAAGGAGAGCTTTGCTATTCACATCAGTGCAGTCAGGAATCCAGTGGCAGAGCCCATGTTTCTAAAGATAGACTATTTTGCTCTCTTAAGATGCAGCTCTTACTCAGCTGTTTGCAGTCCAGTCCTGTCTGCTTTGGACAGAGACCAAGAAATCAAAAAGTATCTTGGGAAAAAAAACAAACAAACAAAAAAAGGGGGGGGGGGTTATAGTTTACAATTAATTTAATGAGTTCTGGATGGAGCTGTACCAGTGTCGCAACTCACAGAGCAAAAGAAGCAAATGTTTATCTGCTTTCATACAAAGGTCATCTGTGGTTCCTGCATGTCAATAAAAATACAGTGCAAATCTGCTACATCCAAAGCCATGTAAGGGATTTGGCCAATGTAATCATTACAGATGTACTGGAAAATCTAAGCCAACATTCATAGATGGGTAATGCCTCTCACTTCTCCCTCTCCCTCCACACTTGCAGTGCTTTGCCTGAAATTCTGGGGTTGCTTCATGAAAGACAAGCCTGACGAGATTTAATGTGAGAAATAGGCTTGATCTGTGACTAATGTGCTTCCTGGAGATGGCCTCTTTCCTCTGGGCACAGCACCAAGGATAAAAG